CACAAATAATAGAATACGACCCTATGTTTGTGCAGGTGATAGATGCATATGCCGAACTATTATATGAACAACAAGAGATGGTCAACCCAACTTCAAAGAGAGCCTCATTCATCTTCACGAGCATGTGTTTGGTAATAGATTTAACATTCTATTTTTTTTTTAATGTGAATGTGAATCTTCATAGTCCATTAATGTGACCGTTACATAATTGAATGTCCAATGTGTGCAGAAAGTGATATGAGAGTACCCTCTTTGCAAAATAAGTAAACATATTGATGCACATATGAAAGACTACCAAGGAGAGATATCTACTATTCTCATTGCAGCATAACTTATAATGGACAATCGTTGTATACGACGCTAAAGACAATCTATGGAGGCATTATAACTCATTGCGACCAAGGCCCAACATACACGACCCACATGTCGACCAAGCACAGCAAGTTGTTAGTGACTCTTATTGTACACAAATATGAATTGTTGTAATGTGTTAAATTCCAAAATGAATGTACACACACATATGTTCGTTGGTGCCTAATGTGAAATTCTTTACATAGGGAGACTACATTAAGAACGTTGTGCGCGTTATTGGCGAGTCATCACCACTATGGACTAAGTTTGCAGGCTAAGATCTGTTACAATAAAATCATATCAGTTGATGTCTGTCCTCAGTAGGTCGACACCTCGTAAGCCTCATAAGATTTTGTATAAATCCTCCACAATCATTATGCAAACATAAATGTCAAGTGCTAATCATAACCATTTTGCATTTACAGGGTGGACAGGGAGCCTGCAATGTGTTACATCATGCGGACACACATATAGCATGAAGAAATTGTTGGTAGCCTCACTTGTTCTGAATGGTGTGACTTACGAGACTTATTAATACACAGTTTTTTGAATCACAGAAAAACAAAGCGCCATGTCCACCTACAAACTAACCAACACTCGATGTGAATGTTAATATCAATTGATTTGACATTTTAACAAACAAAAATTGATTATAAATTAGTGATATGACATCTATTAATGTTCTGATATGCCACTTGTGCATTTTGATCTACATTTGATGTTGTTCTGTTTATTTATGCGATTGTTTGAACCACATTGTTCTATAATACACATATTGTGTGTAGGAATGTTCACATTGTCTATACGACATCATTACAAAGGAAAGACACGTGTGAATATTCACCTTATTCACAACAGTTGTGAATATTCACTTTATTCACAACAGTTGTAATGCTCACATCATGTCAAATTGTATGCATGTGAAAGTTCACATCCCGGATTATATTCATGTTAACATTCACAGTAATAATGTGAAAAGTTCAACCCAGATGCGAGTATTCACATAATGTGAATCTTCTACACAAATGTGAATGTTCACATTATGTATTAATCATTAAAACACCAACAAATGTCAGTTTGCCACCCAAAAAAAAAAAAAAAAAAAAAACAATGTCCCCCTTTGTTTACACCCTCATTCCAAAAACATACAACAAAACAAAATATAGACAACACAAATCAAATACTATGTTTGCCAACATAACGTAATCTTATTTCAACACAATGTTTGCCAACATAACGCAATCTTATTTCAAACATCAATAAAAAAATTCCACGTAAAACATAATATTGAAATGAAAATTGTACACCTTGTATCGACTTTTTGCATGATTTCCGATTATGGCTTCCCAACTTATCACATCTCCCGCACCTTATTTGTTTCAGTTTCTCACCCCTTGATGGGATTCTATTCTTCTTCGGCCTGCCGAGTAGTCCTTTCACAGTTGGTGGGTATATGGTAAAGTCCGTGGGATCAAAAGACGACTTTTTCTACCGACGATATGGGGAATATGGTACTCAAATAGGCAGCACGATACGTCTCTACATGAAAATAATGTTCTACACAATCATTGAGATTCTACCGACTCTTCTGAATAGTAATAACAACATGGTCACACAGGAATCCGTTGATCTGCCATTGGAAGCAAGAACACGTACGCCTTGCAATATCAACTATAACAGATGGTATTGAGTGAATCTCAAATACATCTTCATTGGCTTTGCTAACTTGCCAAGACCTACCGTCGTTAAACGAATCAGGAAACATAGTTTCAAATGTAAGACAAATTGTTTCCTTCTACTTATTTGCTTGGTCACGAAACATAGTTTCAAATGTAAGACAAATTGTTTCCTTCTACTTATTTGCTTGGTCACGCCGCGCCAACAGTTGCCGCATCAACTAAGTACGAATTGTGTCCACTAACTGAGTGATAGGAAGATTGCATGCTTCTTTAATTGAATTATTAAATGACTCTGTTGCATTGGATGTCATCTCCTCATAACGCATGCCCTTACACAATATCACAACATTATACAACACTGAAGTTAATTTCTTCAAAACTGAATATAAAATTTTACATCGCCACAACACATGACTGAAATTCCTACAAGCTACCATTCTAACCTTAACAAATGGAATACATTAGAAAACTACTATTACCTGAAGTATGAATTTGCCCAGTGCTCAGGTGCCAACTCCTTGAAAAAAACTATGTGCTCGTTGCTTACCCTCCTCTTTTAATTTCTCAAGCTTTTCTTGGAACCCCACCACAGTTGGCTCGTAAGCACAGTCACCCAAACTACTAACCAGGTGGTCCCTGAATTCATTATCAATCCCCTTCATCCAGTCTCTTAAATTGTTCTTCAAATATTGTGAGCAATAACCGTGGTGAGTTAATAGGAACACCTTCGGCATTGCTTCTAACAAACTAAGATTACGGTCATAAATAAAAGTAATCTGACGCTTACCATCAACAACCTTCCCAAGTTCATGTAAAAACCATGACCAATGGGGCATGGTCTCCGAATTAACAATCGCAAATGCAACAAGGAATAGACCTACAACATAACAACATTAAACAATTGATCACAATATTCTAATGTGCATATTAACACAGGTAGTTTACAAAAACACTCGAAAGCCAACAAGGGTTGTGAATATTCACACTGTGTAATGGTAAGGCAGATATCCACATTGCGCTAGTCAATGTGAATATTTACATGGACATACACAGATACAAAAAAAGATACTAACCATTGTTCCCATCTTTTGTCGTTGCCACAAGTAGTTGACCTTTGTACCTTCCTTTGAGAAACGTTTCATCAGGGAATAACAAAGGCTGACAAAAATTGTACCCAAAAATACATGCAACAAATGATACAAAAAAATGACAAAACTGTTGACTACTTGTGTCGTAGTCAATATTGACATAACTCCCCGGATTGTAACGTATCACAGTATCCGAATACCACCGCAACTGGTCAAACAACAATGAGTGATCTCTATGAATGATAGTCTTTGCTTTCTCCACACCCAACCATACCATGTGGTAACTTACATCCAATCGATAATCCCGCCTTCAAAATGTCACTACCTCACATGGGCGATTTAACGGCTTATCCCTCACAATTTCAAATATAGTACTTGACACCAAATCAGAACTAACTCTCGGATTATTCGACGTCCAGACATCCGTACCACATCTAGTAGTGGGGCCTTAACCTCCAGTCACCTCCGCTGTTGAATAATTGCCTTTTACTTCTACCTCTAATCGGAAAGAGGTTTAGAGCTATTGGTCCAAATCTAGAGACTGTTGTTGTTCCAAATACAAAAGGTATAAATGATGATATTGTCCCGCAATCACATGCAGATGTTTAAAAAGTTGATGAATTGAGTGCAACAACAGTTGATACTTTAAAAACAATAAAGCCAAAGGTTGGTGAATTTTAATGATTAAAAAACAAAGGAAGATGAATAAATTTTAACAGATAGGGGAAATATGTTATGTAAATTTCAACAGATAGGAAAAATAGGCTTGGTGAATTTCAACAGATATGAAAAATAAGTTCGGTGAATTTTAACAGATAGGGGAAATAGGCTTGGTGAATTTCAACAGATAATGTCCTTTTGAACAAATGTCCTTTTAGTCCAAAGAGATTAGATCTTGAGCCCTAAAAGATTAAAAAATGAACCTATGATTGGACATTTTTTTTTATATTTATTTCATATTTTAATGGACGAATTGCACTAATAGTCCCTATAATTTAGGACTTGTGTGTCACTTTGGTCCATAATCTTTCAATTGTGATACATTTGACCTTAAAATTTGAATCTCGCTCCAAATAAGGACAGTTGAAGACATTATTGCTCCATTTAAAGGACAAAGCTGTCATACAATTTATTTTGTGTTGATTAACTTATATGTTATTTGAAATATAATGGCCTTTTTTTTTTTAATGAATAATGTTGGAACTTGTTTTGTTATAAAGTTTTGTTTAGTTTGGTTTTCAAAATTTTTTTTCAAATTTTTTTTCTAAGAACTTAAAAATAAAATTAGTGAAAAAAAATTAAAAACACCACATTTTTATATAATTTTATTTTTTGGGGATGTAGAAATAATTTTTTATATTTATTTTCATTAAATTAGTTTTTATTTTTTCAAAAGTTAAATATGACGATAATTTTAATATCATTATTAAATTAACAACCATTCATTACATGATAATCATCTAAGAATACCTCTTAACAACAAATACAACCATCTATCATATAATAACCATTAAAAAAAAATATCAACAAAAACAACTACCCATTATATAATTATCATTCAAACACATAATAAAAATTAATGTGGTAAAAAAATAAAAAAATAATAATGGAAAAGATTTAGCATTTTTATATAATTTTATTTTTGGTGAATTGAAATAATTTTTTAACATTTATTTTTATCAAACTAATTTATATTTTATCAATTTAACAACTTTACTTTTGAAATATAACAATAATATCTTTAATTATCATTCATGATCAAATATATTATAATTCAAAAATCAAATATCAAAATGATACAAATCCCTAAGTGTAATTTGTCCTATTAAAAAAAAAAAAACTAAAAATATATTAAAATCGCATAAATCTTGACTCCCAGCTGTTGACAAATGCGAATGAAGGACTAGAAATAGCGAAACGCAACGCAACGCAACGCAACCAGTATCTAACATACGAGTAACTGAGAGGAAGCATCGCAGCCATCGACCAATTTCAATTGTCACTTTCTCAGAGAGAGACCAGAGAGAGAATGAGCGGGGAAGGCAAGACTGTGTGCGTGACGGGTGCGTCCGGGTTCATAGCCTCATGGCTGGTCAAGTTGTTGCTCCAACGTGGTTACACTGTTCGAGCCTCTGTTCGCGACCCTTGTCAGCTCTCTCTCTCTCTCTCTCTCTCTCTCTCTGGTTATTGTATAATAATTTTGTCTTCAACTATTCAATATTGGGTTCTAATAATTACTTCTTATAGTGGTCATTTTTGCTTATTTCGATTTGATGAAAATCAGATCATTCCCACATCTTCTATACACTTCCATCTTTCATTTCGATTATGCCAGTTGATTCGGACTGGGATTTTTAGCTACGGATCATTTCGATTTTGTGTTCTTTGTGTGTGTGTGTGTCCCTAGAAATTTTAGTTCCTAATTGTGTCTACTGATTGCCAATATCACTCTAATATTGTTAGGTCATCATCACTAATTGATAGATTGATTGTAAAATTGTGTCAAGTGATTGCCAAACAAGCTTCAGACCCACCATGTATTTTAGTCTGTCAATTGTGATTAGTTCCTTTGACATAAATAACTACACACTCAGTTTGGATGTGGTGATTTGGTGAGAGATGATAAGAAATGATGAGAATGAGAACTTTTTTCTTTTGTTTGGTTTATACGTTAAGTGAGAAATGGTGAGAAAAAGAACTCTTTTTACTATGCCTATTTCATTTCTCACCAGAAGTGATGAAATTTGATAAGAAACAAGTTGATTGGTTGTTAAATATTTATAATACCATGATTATCCCTTAAAATACAAGAAAAAGAGATATCACTCAAAATAAATAAATAAATAAATAAAAAATAAAACTGAAACAAAATAAATAAATTACTCACAAGAAATTCTTGTTCTGGAAAGTTAGAACAACAAATCACCAGAAAGTTTAGAACAACAAGATCAAGTCGAGTGTGTGACACTCTGTTCTTAAGACAGATTCGTCGTCGCACAGGTGCTCATGGATTATTGGTATCTGTCTCCCATGATACAATGATCACTCTCACACATTGTAGTAGCACTACAAACAATTTGTCTTGCGAACCAGAACCTGAGTTCTGCACTCTCTAAATTTCTATAACTAATATGACGAACAGATGCAAGAAAGGAAGAAAAAGGGGAAGGAATTGAATGAATGAATCTGCTGGAAAAGGTCTATGTTTATAGGCATTGTGGTATATGTTCCAAAGGATAGAAAAACCCTCCGAACAGGTGCAAATTTGAACCGCTGGAAAAGATGAAGGAAGGTGATCGGAGAGGCACTGGTTTAGATAGAAAAATTTGAATTTCGAATTTTGGCCCAAAAGTTTGAATTAATGCTCTTAGGATTTCAATTTTTCCTACAAGAATTTGGAAAGATTCAAACGAATTTTGTCCAAAAAATTAAAACTAGGACCTGACCCAACCCACACCACGCACGCGCACGACTCGACCGGACGTCGGCGACGGCGTGTGTGTGGTGGATTTGGGTCAAGCTCACTTTGTCCATAACTCTCCTTCTTACAAAACTTGGGGTACCCTTAGAGCCCATCCCAAATATGTCAACCTAGAGCTTATATACTCACACAAGCTCTCTTATTGTTTATGTGGGACAACCAAAACAAGGTAATCCACATTTGACACTTCAACTTTCTATTTCACGAAATCGAAAATGACGTTAATTTCTCATTTATCCATAAATGGTTTTGACAAACCGTTTTCACCATGTGACTTGCCGTGTGGCAAGGAACACGTCACCACTTGGACCCACCCCAAAAGACATGTGGGCGCTGCTTAAATTTGGGCTCAAAGTTGGCCTAAAATAATCCTATAAAACCAAAATTTCCAACATATCTCTCTCTCACCTACTTTGTTTTCTTACTCATCCGAATGTGATAGTGAGAAAATGCAATCATTTCTTTTCTTTTCTCACCAAATGAGAGACTACAATCATTTCTTTTCTTTTCTTTTCTTTTCTTTTCTTATCCTATGACCATGTTTGATTACAAGGATTATAGTATAGGATTGAGATTGTTAGTCCATGGACTCACAATCTCATGTTTGATTACAAATTTTATTAACCATATTACATGTAGAGAGGATATTCAATTCGATAAAATTGGCGAATTTTTAATATTGAAAGGGGCTGAGGATGATAATTTCAAATATGAAATAAATAAATACATAATAAATGGTTGTCTTACTAATTTAATTGGATAACTAATTCTATACTAATTCATAGGATTATTAATCCTTTCACTATTGATCCTGGTAATCAAACAAGGCCTAAGATCCAAGATGGTTGTAAAAATTTTAGGTTAACTTTTTGGACATTCTTTGACCAGAAGTGATTTCAAATCAATCATCGTTTAAATACTGATACAGTGAGCACCTCTGAAATTATGAGAGGAGCTCAGGCCATAGATATACCCAAGGAGTTCAAGTTTAGAAGTCAGGACCCTTATTTAGATTGCCTGAGGGTTTTTTGCAGTTGTCTTGATCTCATGATCTGGTAGGAGTAGTGACCATTCTAAACCCAGGATGTTGCAAGGATTTTGCGCCAACATTATCTCCAATTGAATTGGGTCTGAGCTCACAATAATATCATCACCAAGTGAAATGGACAACATATATCCAAGAAAAATAAAACAGTAGAACTCTTTTGACCTCAATGACTTGGATGACTTTACCAGGAGGAAGGTTCACTCAACAATTAGTTTATCTATTTATGACCCAACTCACATTTCATAATCGATTTGTACAGTGGAAAAAAATTGCAAGGGCTTGTACTATTTAATATTTCAGTCATGATGAAAATGATGATTTTTCTGCTTCTTTTTTGGCATATTGACCTACCTTTGATATATTTTTTTTTTTCTCTCTCTCTCTCTCTCTCTAGTAATAAATATCTTCTTACCTCTGTTCTCTAACTGTGAATTTGCTAAGGTGAAATATAACTTCGATAACTAATTTATAATAGTACATCCTATGGAAATGATTGTTAGTTTACTTAATGGTCATGAATCATGATTCAAGAATTTAATAATGCCGGATACAAATTCAATTTTTTTTTTTTACCAAGATCATATACTCTTTAGCCGAATCCGAATTCTATTGTTAGGAAATGCCCAATACAATCATGCTTCTTATGTTTCTAATGTTTGTGAATTCAAACTTTTCTCTATTACTAAGACACATATTGTTGTCTTCCTATTTTCCTATGAGGTAAGACAGTTTGGACTATATTTTTTTCACTCTGTGCTTACTTTAGGATAAAAATCTTTGGCAGTTTCCAAAGATTGTGGACACCACTTGTTTGAAGTTTGAAGATGTTCTCTTTTAATGCTATGCATCATGTAGCCAATACGGGTTAGGCTTGGCTAATTGAGTAATTGATACTCAATTAGCCATGTTGATAGTTTCTAGGCTTCCTTGTAAAAGAAAATTTTGTTGTAATTTATTTTTATTTTTTAATTTTTTTTAATTTTTTATTTTTTTTATGAAGTATTGCAGAATTTATTTTCAATCAAGATGGGCATTGTTTGGATTGAAACTTATATATTTTGGAATAATTTGGTCAATCTGAATATGACCATGGCATTAACGATTTATTATATAGAGGTTTCATAAGAATTTATCTTGTAGTTGTGACTTGTTACTGTAAATCGAATTGAATAATTCAGCTATTGACCAACAAACTTTACCAGAACGGTGATTGCAAATGAAGGATGGCCAAGCTCTCGTTTCTAGGTTTAGGTATTAACTACTTCAAATAGAGTGTGTATTTGTGTGTTGGGTGTTCTTCTATCATGCAGTCTAACGACTTTATTCCACCCTAGATGGTGAGAGTCGAGAAATAAAAAGCATCACTACCTTAAGCTTTGACTCAATTAGTTGGGGCATGTGGAATTCCGTGTGGATTGGCTAGAACCACATTGCAAGCTTTTTGGTCTAAAGTCTTTCTTTAGCCTGGCTGTACTTTTGGATATAATATTTAATAAAAATACAAGTATTTGAATGTGCAGGATGTGTGCATGTACTGTACCCAATTTTCAGACATTTATCCTAGTATATTGAAATATCGGGTTTAGAATGAGCAAGAAATATGGAGCTTAGGGAGCTTTGAATGCGTAAACACACACTTGCACTATATACACATACCCAAGTCCATGTTTTGTAGAAAAAAAAAAGAAAAATGATAGGCACTTGTATGCAAATTATACTATTTGTGCGCATATATAAGCTTATAGAAGTATAATATTCCATGAAAATGTGCGAATTGACATAAATTTGTTCAAGTAGAATTCAGAGGATTAATTCGAGAAATGCAATTTAATCTCATGTGTTGGTCATTCGGTGTTGTGCTACCTAAAAATGCACCCTTTCATGGATTGGGGCTGAGCTGCCAGTTTTTCACATTTATTCAATACTTGGTAATAAATTGCAGCTGATCAGAAGAAGACAGACCACTTACTTGCACTTGATGGAGCCAAGGAGAGACTTCACTTGTTTAAAGCAAACCTATTGGAAGAAGGTTCCTTTGATTGTACTTCTCAGTTACTATTGTATATGGTACCAATCCCTGCAAGGACAAACCAAAACCAAACCTAAACTCATCCAACCTGTTCAACTTACCAATTTAGCTGAGGTCTGCTGGTCCCCCACCCCAAAGAAAAAAATGAAAAATATATATAGGGAAAATCAAACCTAAGCTCCTCTAATCCATTGACCAATTGAGGTAATAGGTTCCTCACTCCCTTCCATTAAAATAAATAAACATATACTCCCTCTCTTTTATGTGTTGGCCTGATGAGGTGGGATATAGCCAAGCATGGGTGATAGGGCAGGTACTTCAGAACTTGGTTATATACACACAACAAATAAAATAAAATAAAGCATTCATTACACACAAGTCACAAAGTTTTTTCTTACGTTGATGGAACAACATATTTGCATGCCTTGAGCAACCATTGTCCCTAATATATTTGCTTATTTGGTCATAGATAGTGAAGAGTCATTTCATCAATCTCTTACTCTCTTTTTTTGTGACAAGGAACCTTCCCAAGACAAGGCCACGTTAGACACACCCCCGCAGAGTAAACCCGAATACCCGTAATCACATGCAAACACAGTTTATTGGTTAAACCAGGGTGACTCTAGTGAGAGTCAAACCCAGGATCTTTGGGTTTAAAGTTCATCCCATGGTCCAACCTCGTTGCCACTAGGCTACTTGTGTGTGTTATCCATCTCCTACCTAAGTCAAGCTTACATCATTAACTAATTTGCTTTCAGAACTATCTTTGAGTGAGTGTGACCTTTTACAGGCAAACACTTTCTGGATGAGTTTTATAAACTCTGACGCCAAATTTTGTTCCTCATAATCCTGCTAATTGGTGTTTTTATATATATTGTACGGATTTTTCTTGATTTCTTTTTCATGATACTTCTCTTCTGAAGTAAAAGACATTGACTTTTGGTCTGAATAACCAGCATATTATTTTAATTTCTGATTTTTGTTTCCAATCGGTTAAATGGAATGTTATTTCTATCTAGTGGATTTATTCATCTTGTGACAGAAAGATCTCAAGCATATGATCTATAAGAGCCATCATTGTATTCTTTGATAGTAGATTAAAAGCTTCATTATATTTGCTTCAAAATACTGGTGGCTGATATCCTGTAATTATTGTTTTCAATTGATTTACGTAGTATGTCTTCCTCATTTCAGGCAGAATTGATTGAACCAGCATTAAACGGAACACTAAATGTTTTGGGATCATGTGCCAAAAACCCAACTGTCAAAAGAGTGGTTTTGACATCGTCTGTAGCTGCAGTTGCATACAATGGTAGGCCTCGAACTTCTGATGTGATAATTGATGAGACTTGGTTTTCTGATCCAGAGTCATGCAAGGAAAATAAGGTACGTATTTGTCTAACTGCTAATCATGTATTTTTGCTATTTAGCTTTTACATGTATATGGAGGCTCAACCTTGGGCTGGTAAAACTCAGGCTACTAGCTCCCCAACTGGCAGAACAAACAATGGGCGATGACTTTTCTTTTCCCTTTCTTTTTTATTTTATTATATTTTTGTTGATACTCAAGCTACTGTATCAATAAAATGATGTCATCAGCACATGAAAGAGTATTACTTGCACAAACTGAGTTTTACGTGCCATTTAGATGTGTATAATGTATTACAAATTCAAATTTTCTTATCAATCAGTTACGATCATAAAGTGTAAGCAGCTCTCAAGAACAGTGTCATTGTTACTCTAATTCTGTTTGGAAGGAACCAAATAAAGTCTCTTCGCATTTTTTGTTGTCATTGCCCTTCTTGGGGGTGTTGTTTGGAACTAGTTAGACGAGAAATTACACAAAGAGAAAGAGTAGCAGTTTCGTTTTTTCTTTTCTTTTCTTTTCTTCTCTTCTTCTTCTTCCTTTTTTTTTTTTTTTTTTTTTTCAAAAAAAAAGTAGGGTTGTATCTTTCAACAAATTTAGCATCTTTTCGAAATTCAAGCTCAACTAAGAAGCTTCAAACAGAGAGAACCATGAGCAGTTTCAACACTAAAATAATTTGATTCTCTTTGTCCAATTTTCTCTTGTTTTGAAGCACAGATCTTCTTGGAAATTTAAGTTTCAAAATTTAATGCGTGGTTGATTCCTAAGGAGTCACGCCTGTTAATTCACAACATTAAATACTAAAGGGGGTATATCTTATGAAAGGGTACCTGGAGTCCTATAAATATAGGACCACCCCATACATCAACTTCGCTTGTTGTACTCTCTCCATCTCTCTTTTCCTCTATATTCTCATATTTATTTCTAGGCAATTTGAAAAACACTTCACACTCCTTTCTACCATCGATTGTGCAATGTGACACATTTTGTGAGATTCTAGGTTGTACCTTGGAGTGGTATTACGTTGTCAATACTTGCACAAAGGGAGGACAATACGACTTTAGGACATCAACTTGTTGTACCTCTCATAAATCTCACAGACAATTTTTTTTCCCTACTTTCATTATTATTTTTTGTTCATTGATTTCTTGCTTTTTGATTTTATCTATTATTATATTTTTGTGATAGTTACTTGTTAAAATCCACCTACTCTCCACCTACTTCACCCACTTAAACCTACTCCACTAAACCTAACCCACTAAATCCACATACTCTCCACCTACTTCACCCACTTAAACCTGAGAAATAGCTTTTCTAAACCTATATCACTTAGCGCCGCTCCCCCCCCACCAACTTAGCATGTTAAGTGATAAGTGAAAAGTAGGTTTTTTTTTTTTATTTTGAAAATTTTAGCCTATTTTTAAGTGGGACTTAATTTTTTAAGTGATACCATATATGTACAATCAAACCAGCTTAATTAAGAAATCACTTAATATTTTCAATTTTAAGAGCTGAATTGGGCTATCAAACACCCCCTATTATAAATTAATATCTTTTCATTTAAGTTGTACCTTAATATCATATTTATACAGAATGACTTTTCATTTAATCTTTCTCTTTTTACGATTAATGAAATCTGCCTTGCTGTGCATTGCACAAATACATATAAATTCCACCTAACTAATTTATTATCTTGTGTTGGCCAACTCAAAAATATAATACATACTTACATATTATATTATATTTCCATTACTTTTAAATTCCATCGAATTAATTAAATTTTTTGTTTAAAATGAATGTTTATTTGCTATTCATTTTTAAACAAATATTAATTATGTTGTATTTAATTAATTAAATATTATATAAAAAAAAATTAAAACTCATTTATAACATATATATATATATGTCAATCAATTTTATTTTTTTTTAAAAAAAGGTTCATATAAATAAAATAAAAATAATACATAAGCGCTCCTAACCTATGACGACCCTAAGTGGCCACACTCTTGCTCCTACTCCCAACTCCCGTTTCGTGCAACTAAGGACATGAGTACCTGTTTAAATGGGTAACCACTTCTTCCACCTTGACCACCATCATCGTTATTGCCGTTGCCACTCCACCACTATAACCATCACCACCTCCACTGCCGCTGCCATCTATTAGGAAAAAAATTCTATGAAGTAAATGGGTTGGTTGCGTTCATTTGTCTAACCCAATTCAACCCAACTCATTTATTAAATGGGCGGGTTTGGATTGGGTTGTTTTAAGCATTACCTGTTTTGACCTACCGAAATCCACCCACTTGTCACCTCTAGATATGGTTTATGAGGATATCCTCAATCAAAATATCTGTTCATTTCTCTTCTACCAGATATCTATTTTGGTGTCTTGTCAGGCTCAAATTGTTTTTTAATTACTATTTTACCTTGCTTGTTATGACATTTGTATGGAAGTTCCATCTGCATCTACTATTCTTTCATGTCTTTTCACATGATTCTTTTTCCATTTTGGCTATGATGTGACTTACACAAATATTAAGTAGATGTTGTGAAGCTTTAATGAGAAAGCAGTTCTCCAATGTATTCTGTCTTCTTAAAATTCTATATGAAGAATCATATGTTTTCGACTATTAAATTGAGTTGTGTCCGTCCTTGTATAAAGTTGAGTTGCAACAAGTACTTGAGAGCAGAGTTGTTGAAATCTACATCATTTTATCATGTTTTGAAAGTGGAAGCTGCTGAGGATATAACTTATGTTTGTTCATTTTAGTTCAATTTTTCATCCAACGTAACCATGTTTGTTCTGCAGCACTTTGCAGTATCAAAATTTTGACATCTTATTTTCATTTGAATCCATTTCAATGTTGGAGTTTTGAAATTCTGACATTCTACTGTCAATTTTTGGAATGGTTCATGACATTTTGAAAATTTTGAGATTCGACATAGGATCCTTTTGAAGAGGAAACTGGTATGCCGCATGTTGGACTGTCAAATTCTGAACTTTAAGTAGCATTTAGTTTGGGATCATTTAAGTGTTGGGTGCTCTCTTAGTGATAATGAATCTCTGCAAACAAGGTTCTAGTTAAGAATATCCTAGGTGTTTAACCTAATTTATCTGGTACTGGAATGTGGGTTTCTATCATTTTGGTTTCCTATTGTTTGAATAACTTTGTTGAATTTTCTCATGTCAGTGTTAATGGGTTATTCATATGTTATCTGCCGTGCCAACATCTTTGCTTATTTTTGGTTTTTTTAAAATGATGCATCAGCAGTTTAATTCTTTTCTCTGATTATAACTGCTCCATTTGAACATGTGTTTAATTCTTTCCGCTTTTAGAACACTTGTTCTTTTCATTTGTTGAAACAAGTTTAGACATTGGGATTGTTTGGGATGATCTAAATAGTATACTTTTTAACTTTTTATGAAAAGTCGTGCAATGTGATAGAAAATTGATGTGACCCAAATAAGAGGTAATATGATCCAAGTAAGATAAAAAGATGATCTTAAGTAGATCACCCCAAACAACCCCTTAGGTTGTGCTTGGATTATGGATTTAGGTAGGGATTTGGAAAGGAAAAGGGAATCTTTTTTCTTTTTCTTTTCAAAT